GATCGCACCGTCGGAAAATTACCGCCCCGATCCGCGCAATTCGCGAGTAAACACCCGAGATATCGCGCCGTTGCGTAATCGACGAGCTCTCCTCGCACGCGGGGGGGAGGATGAACGCCCCCGTGCTTTATCGTCGGAGGGGGAAAAAAAGGAAGCTCTCGGTGGATATTGTACGTTCTGCGAGGCGGGAATGCGCGATCCCGCCTCCAATTTCGCTTCTCACGACGATATATTTTTGTTATTGGATGTAGACTACAATAAAATCGACAGTACAAGGTCTCCACGAGACTTCGGGGGTTTCGGGTGTTTTCATGCATCTCGCATCCCTGCCTCAGCCGTTCCTCCACTCCTCAGCCACGGCGGCGCGTCGTCGAGCGATCCGCGGAAAAATTATTTCGCGCGACGTTCATTTAAATTGCTTCTTTCTGAATGTACAAACGCGTGGTCAGAAAGGTCGGCCGGCGTTTTACGATAAATTTCGAGAATGCAGTCTGTCATACTTTGCTCGCGGACGTGTGCAGTTACGCATTATTGGAGCTAAGGAACGGTGGGTACGAATATCCATGGGATGATACAAACGAGTATTTCGAAAATTCATTGTAAAATGGCGGACAGCCTTTCTGACCACGTACACTAGGGCCGGTATTCATAGTCGGATCTTCTATTCAAGACCGTCTTGAATTTATCTAAAGATGCTGTATGGAACATTTCATTGGCTACGGAGTATCTAAAGATGATCTTAAGACGGTCTTGAATACAAGATCTGACTATGAATACTGGCCTAGGAATCACTGACGCCTTTTTGTATGAAATTAGATACAGGTAGAACGCGTATACATTTTCCATGTGTGTATATGCGAAGTGTATAAATTTGTCGATATGTGCACGAATTCATGTGGGAAGGTGATTCCTAGTGTACATACACCTACACGGAGAGAATTTTCTCTTAAAATTTATCCTGAAAATTATGTAATCGTGGGACGACACGGCATTTCGGAGAACTTTATGGGAGTTTTTTTTAAATCTTACCATACATTTTACTAGTAATTGTACTTGGTACACATTTTACTCCCACGGTTGCACGATTTTCAGGGTAAATTTTAAGAGAGAATTCTCTCTCCGTGTACGCATTTTTTGGTTGCTATTGCATTTGTTGTCCGACAAATTTTGTAAGTTTATTGATTGCCTACATGATAGAGAATTTCTGGTTACTCAAGAACTTTTCTATCCTGCAGCTAATCAACACGCTTAAAAAATTGCACGATAAGTGTAATATAGTACCCTTATCTTCCGGAATTACGTTATCTCTGATAAAACTTGTCAAATTTGTCGCTCGAGAACGCGGAGATCGACTCCGTTTGAAGGATCGATAAGGCGTGCATTTTTTTCTCTCCGCAAGGCTTTTTGTATCATTCATATTTTCGAAATTAGATTGTCGGAAATTTAGCTCTTTCATAACCGAATTATTTTTCGTTTGTTATTATTTGATTATCTAAATAGAGCGCTGGCGTCCCAAGGAATCAGGGAGAGGCGAGAAATGTAGATGTAATTATGTATCTCGGTGATCGCGCCGTGAAATTATATCGTCGTTATCGAGGACGCCTCTGCGATACCGACGGACGTTACGGAATCTCGGAGCCTCGTCCGAAAGTGCGACGGTAGATGGCGACTGCGGTATCGGGTCCGCGGTGAACTTGGCCGAGAGCCTCGGGCCCATAGACATAGTCTATGCTCGGGCCATGTCTTATTTCCGGCGACGCTTTGCGAACGTCGTAAAATGTATCGAGCGATCCGACGGAATTGGCAAAGCGATCGAAATTTTCCGTGGCGCGATAGCAATTGCGCCCCAAAAACGAAGCAATAGTAAGTGAAAAGAAAACTACAAACGAAATTTCCAATATTTCTGTCGAATGTTCGGTCTATGGATTACTCGTTGCTCACATATATCGCACGTTAACCGCACAGTTTACATTGTGAAATATAGTTTAGGCGTAAACGTCCAACTTTGAGATCTCGTTCTCAACTTTGTCCGAGAAACATTGCCTAGTCTGAAGTGTAATGAAAAATTTTTTAAACAATAAAATTTGTGAAGGCCCCGACGCGAAATCACACAATTCGAATGAGTAAAAGAGTAAGAGCCGGGACAGGAAGTTGGCGTCTAAATGACTAAGTTTGTTATTTATTGCGAAAAATTTATCTCAGCCAGGATAAACAAATTTTATTATTTAGCGAGACCTGCGGAGATCCCGAAAATTTCGTTTGCCGATTACAATCGCGTTGCGGATTCGAACGTTCTGAAGAATTACGCGAATAGGCTATCGGCAAACTCGGTAAACTCCAACTAGCAGTTACATAACATCGATATTGTAACTTCCCATGCAACAGTGTACGGTTATGTTCAATGTGTATTATATAACATATTATTGAGAGAAATTATTATATCGTGCAACTGTTAGCTAATGTTCAGTGAGCTTCTGCAGGGAACGCGTTGCCGAGGCGGAACAAAAAGTCACAATGGCGCCGCGACATCGAAATGACTCCAAGATGATTAGATTAAAAATCATCCCAGCGCCAACTTCGACGTCGTTCACGACTTCCTGTTCTGCTCCGAGTATGCCGGGTTCAACGTGGTGAAGGATCGCAAGGGATCGAAGAAAACCTCGGACGGATGCGTTAGACGCATTTAAAAAGTGTACACTGTCGCGTTACACTGTGTAAGAGCATGTAAAATTACATATGTACGCACTTTTCCAAGAAAATTTTTTACTCTTGTGTAAAATACTTGTTCGTACACGATGAAAAATTACGAAAAATTGCAAAATTCACACAATCCAGAGCAAGCGGTTTTACTTATTATATAGGGCAATAATTTTTCTTGCAAGGAGTAAATTCACTGACGTATGCAAATGTACACCTTTAATAGATGGTTCCAATATTACCCAGTATAATAATTGTAATTTTACATGTAACTTTTGTACAGTGTATTCTCTCTCGAGGGAAGCCATTTTGCGATATGTATGGCTCGTGTAACGTATATGTCACGTGGGCTCGATCGGGGAAAGGATCTTTCTCCTGTAACGAGCGCCAATTTACAGCTTTGAATCACGCGCTTCCTTCCGCGCTTAAAATATTTATAGCGCATCTACAAAAACTACTTGTGGGAAGTAAGTTTCTTATCGGAATCGTTAACATCGTTTGACGTGCGAACACGTCGAAGCGATAAAGTCTCTTCTCTATATATCGCCTTCTTTTTTTATCGCGTAAATCATTCGCGTTCCGCCACGTGGAACGCGATGATCACCAGCTCTGAAAACTTGCCCGACGAGACATTAACGTCGGCTGTTCAGATAATTGTCGCGGAATTATGATTAACTGCTTCGCCCCGCGAAAGAGCCCACTCGACGTCTATTTACGGCTTTTCAAATTTACGGCGCTATTTTGCGAATTGCTCCCAACGCGATTGACCCGCGTTTCCTTCTTATCGATTTTATCCGCAAATCCGTGCCTGACACGCCGATCTCTTTCAGGCATTTGACGCTTGTTTAACGTCCCCGCCCGAGAAAGGGGACGAGGAAAAAAATCCCCGTGGCATTCGAGTTCGGCCTCCCTAATCGCGGGCGGTATGTGAAATCTCCGCGCCCGAAAAACGGAAAAGGGGACGGATCGAAAGGGACGGATGCCAGCGAAGGGGACGCGCATCCGGGATCGGATTTGGCCCAATTGACGGAAGCGGAATTTCGGTGCGACGAGCCACCGCACGGCGACGTCGTGTTTACGTCACTCGTTTGCGAGGCGCGACTTTGTCGCGCGAGGGGGAGGGCGGGGGACTCGGGCCGAGCTCTCTCTCTCTCTCTCTCTCTCTCTCTCTCTTGGATTCGTGCGACGGTTAACTGGAACAGCGAGTTAATCCCAACGAGCACGGCGAATTAGCATATAAATTCGCCGAAATTGTCCCTACATATGTATCCGGGTGGCGCGCGGCCGTCCCGCGGATATCGCGGAATCGCTTTGAGTCGCAAAGACGCGGTCTTCTACCTATTTGTGTTGGTGCGACTCGCCGGTCCCCTTTGTGCGCCCGCACGCGGATGGTATCCGGCGGTACACGTAAAGCCGGCGCCACACTATGCGCGATTCGTGATTTGAGATTCGCTGACATTCGCTGGACATTCTTTATCGCTTACCACACTATTCGTGATTCGCAGTTTATCATTCGTAATTTGTTATTTGTCATCTCGTTCGTGTTAACTTGGACAAATTTTAATCTTTGCCGATTATCACAGGACTTGCATCGTGAGTCTACACTTGGTCAAGCTTCGATATTAGTCAAAAAACCGCTCGGCCAGCGAATCACTGCGAGTGGCGAATCGCGCGTGGCGTGGCGCTAGCTTTACGTGCATATTGCAAAGAGCCGCGGGTCCTCGGCTCTGCCCGGCTCGTCGCCGCGAGTCGAGAATCGGTGACCGCGAATGTTTCACGCCACGCTCGAATCGCGCACCATTATGCGTAATCAGGAAATGTGGTTCCGCGCCGCGTTTACAAAATGAAATATCGCACCCATTCGACGCGATATAGAGCACGAGCGGCCGGTTTAAACGAACTTCCCCTTCCCGCCCCCTCCCCTTTGACATTGTAAAGCAATCGCTGAATTACGTTCCGTTCTGCGTATAGCCTTTCAGATGTTTTACGGGGGCTTGGATTAAACCAGAGTATAAAATTCGCAATACCGGATACGCAATGGAAAAAAAAAAATATTACCGTTCACGGTCAACATCGTGCGATTAAATTCCGATTGGTCCGATCGGTTGAATTACCGGGGTCTAATATGTTTATTCAGCTCTGACAAATCTATCGAAATCCACTACGGTAGAAAATTGGATGAAATAAATCGGAACGGCCGGGGCTCTCTCATCGTCACATTTCGTTCCCCGTCGTGTATACGCGTAACAAAAATCATATATCAGTTTGACGTCTCAGTTTTGCTGTTTGAAATCTCGTTGCAGCGCATGCTGTGGCTCCTGATGCTCTGGGTAACGGGCGTCCTGGCGTTCTTGCGGTACGCATGGACCCGCGTGACCGGATTATTTATCCACGGCTTCCGAGGGAGAGAGGATGACGACTACGACTCCGACGGTCGACGAACCTAATTACGAGCGAAGGTGGGTTCGGACCGCGGCCGACCAGAAGTCTAATTAAATGGTCGCCCGTGTGTTTACGCTACTTTCAGGAACCGCGAACGAGAGACGAGAAAATAAAAAGGGAAGAGGTCGCGGAGCTGACGTCGTGTCACGCGGGACGTCCGCGCGGATTCCGCATCTCGAGGCCCGCGTTGCCGGCAAATAGGTGCTTGAATGCTTTTTCTCCGTAAAAGAAAAATATAACGGGGAAGGGGAGGAGGTGTCGGGCGAGCAAGAAGCGTGAATGGGAAAAGCGAATCGGCGCTTCTCTCTTCCCAATCATTGCTTTCTTAAGGGAATGCTGGAGTGATTCTGCATTTTTGGCACCTTTTGCTCCTAGAACTGTCGATCCACGAAAACATTTGTGTAATATAGAAATTATGTGGCTTTTGTGTACAGACCGACAGTGTCCCACTGTTAGGCGAAAGAACAGCATGGTATCATTGAAATTAAGTTTAGGAGCTTAACAAGAAGTCTATCCGAGTGAATAGATTTTTGTTAGGCTTCTGAACTTCATTTCAATGATACCATGCTGTTCTCTGATTTAGTCCGATTAGTGGAACACTGTCGGTTCGTACGCAAAAGCCACATAATTTGTAAATATGTTACACAAATGTTTTCACGAATCGACAGTTCTAGGAGCAAAAGGTGCCAAAAGTGCCGAATCACTCCAGCATCCCCTTAAAAGGGGGAACAATGTAGTGAGCTAATTCATGTAGGATATCACGAATTGTTGAAACTATTCGCGACGCTTTAATCAACTCCAAGTTGATGAACATTAATCGACGACGATCGCGAGATATTTCGGAAACGCTTCTTCGCGGGAGAACGCGCTCTCTTTGCGGATGCGAGAGGTAAATTCGGTGGTGGGTTAATGGGAGGAATCTCAGGGCGGTCCGGACGTGAAGAAAACGCAAAGAAAGGGACGGAGAGGGCGGGTTCGGGTCGGACGGAGCCAAGCGGAAGGGAAAGAAAGGAGGAAAACGGCGGACGCGGGAGAATATAGAATCGGTCTCTCTGTCGAGTCTATCCAGTCTCGCGGAGGATCTCTAAATTGCCTCTGTTTGTTTCGCAAGCAAAGAAGCGCCGCCGTGCATCAAAATGGTCGATCCCCGGTAGCCGATGTCTAATATATCGAGGAATCCTCTTCTCTCGGCCCGATCGTGACCCGTCGGCCCCGGTGTTGATTCACCGCGTTTCCGAGCTGAAAGCTCTTTTGGCCGATCGACGGGGAAGATAAAAGAAAAGAAGTGTCGGCGATAAAGTCGAACGGGATGCAGCGCGAGACGACGCTGCTGACGAATGTTATCGCCCCCGAGATTAAATCTCCGCGTCGGCTGGGCTTTACACCTCAAGTTAATGCACCCCGTGGAATCGTAATTATAATCGCGGATAATAACGACAATAATTTGACGCATAAATTACGAATATACAAATACATAAATTTAATCTTGTTATTACAAGGTATTAAATTTATATATTTATTAATGTAACATATAATATATTAATATAATATACATTTATTAATGTTATTATACAATATTAACATTAATCACGTTATATATAAATTCACTACATAACTTAATTATATAAATTAATCGGCATATAAATCTGGCATGTAAATCTGATTTATATTTCAAACGGGAACGCATCCCTCATAAAATCGCGAGGCGCAACTGTTGTGGACGGACGATTGATTTTTGCATTTTAATCGAGAGACGAGCTTCTAACTCGATCGCGAACATTAGACCCCCTATTTGTCTCGGTGTACGTATATACTAAAGATTATCTGCTGCAGGAGCTACAGTATCGTATTTTTCGAATTTTCAGATCAACGGCGGACGCAGGGCGGACGGACACGCGCGCTCGATCGGCGTCAAGTTGCCGCCGAGGCGCGCCGCGGCGTTCCTAAATCGCGCAAAATCCGCTCGCTCTCCCTCGCGAGGATTTTACTCTGTTCACGAATAATGACGAATCTCGACGATATACCGGGACGAAGTGCGCTCATTTAACGCGGCTGCACGCGCATCTGCGGCGATTAAGTAAATACAAATGTTTGCCGTGACGCGCGAATTGCCGAATCGCAATCGGACGACGCGACGGCCGCCATTGCGTCGCCGCGGCCAGTTAACGCCGATCGTCAGCGCCGTTTTCTTTTTTCCCCCGTGACGTTTTCCTCGCCACGGGCGACCTGTCTGTCGTGGCTGAAAAACGGCTGCGGCGTCGGCTACCGCGTCGGATTACCCCGCGTAGCTGCGTGTTTTCCGGCATTCGAAATGTGGGAGATATCGCGATCGCCGACGAGACGTTAATTAAAGACCCGTCTCTCATTGGCGCTACACGGGCGACTATCGATATTCGAATGATTGGCCCGTGATTGGGGGGGGGGTAATTTTACGATTCATCATTATTTCGATGCTCCGTGGATAAACCGTACGGCAGGACGCAAGATTATTCTGCGTTTATTCGGGGCTCCGCGCATTTCACAGCTCTCATCCATGGCCGAGCATCCATGCGAGTGAAAACTGTGAAAACAATACGCGGGACACGGGGATACGCGGGCAACATTTTCGCGCCCGTGCAACGCTCTCCGCCTATCTGCGAAACATCCGGATAATCATAAATCACCGCGATTAGCGGCATTATGGTCATTAATACTGCATTGTGGGTTCATCATTTGGATATTTATGTCAGATTCGTTTCAAGCAATCCGCGATGTCTGTTATCTGCTACATTTGCCGCTCCCGGGTGGAGCGATTAATTGATTTTATAGAAAAAAAAAACAAACAAATTTAATTAATTAGGGAAATGTACGTAGATCGTTAATAATGGCTCGTCGGCGATCTAGGCCTCGCGTACACGTCGACACCGGACGTTATTGGCGGCGGAAAGTAACGCGGCAACTCGCGGATATTCCGTTTCGATCGCGCGAGTTTCAAACGGGTAGGTTTCCGAACGCCGGGTGCGCGCGCAACCGGCCGGCCATATTGCGCCGCGAGTCCCCGGGCGGCGGATCGTCGGTCGCGCGGTCGCTCCACGATTTTACCCGCAATTAGGAGGACGCGGGTCGCGCGAGGCCCGGGACTATCGTGAGTATTGCTCGCGCGTGCAATTCTTCTCAATGATACTCCGAGATATCCTTCTAAACGGCCGGCGCACGGCGCGTCGTGTCTGAACCGCGACGCCGATCCCGCCGCGCCGCGTCCGGTTCGCGTCGAGCGGCAACATTGGTATTGATGCGATAACAGTGGCGATAGGTAGCGATCATAGACTTGTATAATAGACTGCGCCATCCCCGTGGACGCGCTGTCCCAGACATTACAGTGCAGACACATCAAAAGAGTCAAGCCCTGGCTCTTTCTCTCTCTCTCTCTCCCCCCCCTCTCTCTCTCTCTCTCTCTCTCTCTCTCTCTCTCTCTCTCTCTCTCTCTCTCTCTCTCGCTCTCTCGCTCGCTCAGCGTTAGGAGTGGGGAGGAAGCGAGCAAGTTAGACAGAGACACATTGACTCGGCACTCCCGCTCTTTTTATATCTCGCGACCGACGCCTCCTGCGGATAGCGCAGTCTAGTACACGAGTCTATGATCGCGATAAGTATCTTACTTTCGGGGCGTATCGAGGAAGCGGAAAAGGTAAAGGTCTCCGAGCGCGGGACGAGTACCGTGCGAAGTCGGCGGCGCGACGCGGCGCGTCGCGCTCGAACGACACTTCACGCGACAGCCGCCATCTCGCGTCGCCGGATCTCTCGCCGCTCCGCTCAGCGTCGAGATCACTCCGCGCGTTTCACCGCGGTTTTACCCGTAAAGAGCGACTTGCAGGTAAAAAGGACGCGCGTGAGTTTCGGGGATCGCGGCTCCGACGCGGCGGACCGGTGAGTAGCCGCCGTTTCGTTCAGCGTCGCGACGACACTCGGCGCGACGCGGCAGCGCAGCCCCGAGCTGCGCGAGACGACGCGCGTCGCGTTAATATCAAGCGGCGACGCGACGTTTAGTGCAACGAGTTGCGGGACAGCATCTTATTTCGCGTCGTATGTATCTGAGGGGCGAGCTACAAACGACGAAGGTGTCCGAGCGCGCGCGAATGCGGCGAGTGAAGTTGGCGGCGCGTCCCGTCCCGTCCCGTCGAGTCGCGCGCGCGACGGCCATTATTGCGCCGCGAATTCCAGAGCCGCGCGCCGAAAATCCGCACGTTCTCTCGTGACTTTTACTCGTAGTAAGTGACTCGAAAGCGTAAACGAACGGCGATAGGGGATTGGAAACGTCGACCGCAATTGCGATTGCGGCACGCCGGATTACGGCGAGTGGGCCGGTGCCTTTTTTTTTTAACGGTAACGATACCCGGGGAATGGGAATGTCCGGGCAAGCGGGATGTATAAAGTGTTATATCTAAGTTGTTATTTATATATATATTTTTTTATGCTGCGTTGCGTTGCACTGATATGGAATGACAATGTACCAGTATTAATATAACAATATACATGTATAGTTTATGCAGCAATGTGTGTCCAGTTTCAATCTTATTTTCGTTTTCAGAGTCTACGCGATAGAGATTGCCGGCTGGTGTCGAGGGGAAAAATTGACGACGTTGCGTCGTGCGTGAGCGGTAAGCGCGCGATTTGTCATTATTACTACGATTCGCACGCCAGGCTGGTGTTACGCGCGATATATTTTTCAAGCGTGTTGTTTGGCTGCGGAACAGAAAACTTGTGGAGACTCGAGAACCTTCCTATTCTGCAGCCAATCGACGCGCTTGGAGAAATTTGTCGTACGGCAAACGTAATAATAGCCTTAGTCGTCATTTCGCGGACTCGATTCTTGAATTATTCGCGAGAACGAAACCTGTGCGAAATATCTGCTCCTGTGGAAAAGTCGATTAGCTGAAAGCTATGCTTTTCCGTGGGAGCGAAATTTCCGCATACGCTTCTCTCGCGAATTATTAAAGAATCGAGGCCCCGGGATCGAGCCGTGTGGACATTGTCGATTTTATTTGAAAAAAAAGCGAGCCACGGGTAAACTGTAACATTCCGCATCCGTAATATCGTTGTTTAACGTGTGTTTAATATTCAATACTACTCGAAACTTTTTCGATCACCTGCGGCTTTTTCGGAAACGCCGAATCGCGGGGGAACGCGAATCGCTGGGCGCAACAATGTATTCATATTTAGTGATTTCTGAGGCAGTAATTTTTCAAGTAATAATTAGTATAAAAAGTAGCGTAGCGTTCTGGAATTTAATATATTTATTAACCTTTTAGCTGCGGCAAAATTATGAACGCATGGAAAAATTTCAGTGGAGTTGTCGACGAGCAAAGTATAAATACACCGTGATATGCAACGATAGCGTTTGATTATATCTCACTTAAATAATTCGCAGCCGGTCACGCTGCCTTCTCTTTTTATGCTACAGTTTAATTTTCATACCAATTATAAAAATTATGAAATAACAGCATCGCACAAACGATCAGCGAGAAGTGTTCTGTCCGATTAAATTCGCGTTCGCTTTTCCAGCAAATGTCTAATTCTAATTCTTTGAGCGCGCACACACGCGCAAATGACAGCTAAAAGCTTAATACAACGAAATGTTGTGCGTAAAAGCGTAATATAGATGTTTCATGTAATATTACGTACCCATTATCTCGTCAGCCCTTGGCTTTCTCCGGCTCCCTCCTCGTAGAACGTTAACGTGAGGTCACTTTTAAACAATTACACTGTCACCTGCACTGAACAATCGTCCCCGCGACCATCGTGTGACGGGAGTCAAAACGCGACTGACGTGTCGATAACACTCGCGCGACTTTACGATGTGCGACGCGACCGAAGAAACAGTCAACAATAAACCGAAAATACTCATTTAAACGCAAAACAAGACGCGCGATACGCACTGTCGAAATTATCTCACGCGGCGCGAACGAAGGAAATTTCGACGTCGAGACGCGATTTGAAAATATTCAGGAAAACGAGCAACTTTTAATCACGTATATTGTACGTCGTGGACGCTTTGCCAGTCGCGAAATCACAGCTGCAGATTTTTTCAAATAAATTATGTAGCAATACCGAAAACTATGCGCGAAGTCTTCCGCGAACGTGTATCACCGCACTGTGTAACCAATTATATATTTCTCGACGTCTGCTTCTTAAAAAAAAAACACTAATAATCGTAGATTTCGGGTAACGGAATAAACGTTAAAATAATTAAATGATAAAGAATACCGCATGTGCCACTCACGCGCACTGTGCTTTCTAACTGACCGTATATTCCCCGCTCCAACTATTTCCTGCAACGTATTATTACAGCTTCGAACAAACTTGTCAGAGATATCAAAGAAACGAATCGGGAACGAGCGCGCGATACCGTGCTTCATCGCGTACTCTCGACGTCGGCTTATCACAGCGGAGAAATAATCTGGTGGTCGATTCTGTATATCTTACACTACAGCGAAAATGCTACAAGTGATTAGCCTTGTCTCTTTCTAACTGTCCCCTTAAAAAGGAAACGAGGCCGCTCGCTTCGAGCATTTTCGCGATGCGTTGCAAGATACAGAATTGACCCCCTCCCCCAAGATGTAGAAAAGACCGTTAAAAGTATTGGAGAGCGACGAAACTTCCGTGCGTCACACGCGATGTTTTTCCGCGGAATGCGAGGAATGCGAGCAGCGAGCCGACCTAATCGGCGCTCGAACTTCGAGCCTCGAAGGTCGCCGCTTAATTGTGCCCGCGCCCCGCGCCGCGTCGTAAACATTCACACAACGGTCGGTCGAGCCGCCGGTATTAGTCTCGCGTATTCCCTCACGGCGAGCGGTGGCGACGGACGGTTACGCGCGATGATTGCGTATCAATTGCTGCGTGCATGCGCGCGATCGTAATTAAGCCTCCCGTTGCCGATACGTCGTGAATCCACCGCTGTTGCGACTCCCTTTCGCCCGGTTTGGCGCCGTTCGGTCTGTGCGCGTAAGGCCGGTTCTACATTAGTTGCATCTTAGCGTCGCAAGGGTCGTAGACTAGTTATAAAGTCAACGCTGATTGGCCGAATCTATGATTTGCGACGCTACGATACGGTCAATGTAGAACCGGCCTAACGAAATCGTACGATTGCCGTCCCCGTAATCAGAGATCGGTCGTTCAGCCTCGTCTACATAGAAGTCGTAAAGCCGTAGTCGTAAGAATAGTCGACTACGACTGGTTGATTCTTGTGTCTCACCGAATTGATCAACCACAGTCGATTGTTCTTACGACCGCGACTCCGCGACTCGCATTGTAGATCCCGCATGAAAGTTGGTCGAATTCCCGCGAGTGAGAAAGAGACATAGGCTATATCACTCTTCTACGATCTTAGGCTGATGGCAGAGAACAATCCGTAAACGCTTAAGACTGTCTCAGCCGTAGACGTAGGGCAAGGCAGAGAGAAACGTAAGTCGTGAAAGGCTATTGTATACGAGACTGTATACAATAGCCTTTCACGACTTACGTTTCTCTCTGCCTTGCCCTACGTCTACGGCTGAGACAGTCTTAAGCGTTTACGGATTGTTCTCTGCCATCAGCCTTACGATCGTTAACTCTTGCGGCCAGTCTCTGATTACGGGGTCTGTCGGCGAGCGATCGCGAGGGACCGGCGAAACGCGAATTGTGTCGAGTGCCGCGAAACGATGGCGAACGCCGGGGTGTACGGATCGCGGGTGTCGGGAGTGAATATATCGGGCGTTCGTTTTAATAATTTCGCGCGTTCGCAATTAGCCGAGTTTCCCCGATCGAACGCGGATCTTCGGAGCGGTCCGCCGGAGTCCATTGGACGCGGGCGCCGGACGCGCGGCTTCACAACGAATACCGGTGAGTGCATTTATCAGTACCGAGCTTCCGTTGCTCTTGGAATAATCGTTGGAATTATTTGTAATTGATACATATTGATAATCGGAATTGCGAAAGTGCGCGCTGCGTATTTTCGACGCTGCTCCGGGAGGAATAATCGCTGATGTACGTACAAATGTAACGATACTAAAAGGATTCCTCGGTTATCTTTTTCGTCGACACGGTTAAATATAGTTTCTGCGCTTGTAACTCTTTAGTAGCTTTTGTGCACAAAATAATCTTATAAAGCCAATTTCAAATTTAGTACGAACTACCACGAATTGAAACTTTCAAGTACCAATGTCTTTTTTTATTAGACTTCCGAACCGAGTGTTTTAAATATGAGCCTCCGTGTTATTGTCGCCGGTACACGAGTAATATTTTAAATCAATGATACGTAGTTTTTTGAAACGATCTACACTGGCCAATGTTTTCATTTAGAAAATAAACGACGTTTCGGTCCCGCATTTGGACCCTCAATATTTTAAATGGTATCTTTGATATTTCGTGGAATAGTGCGAGTCTATTTAACTAATTCCTTAATCGTAATTATTTTGAGAGATAAATATTTTAGAGGTACATTGTCGAGGAAAATAATTAAAAACAAAAAAGAACTCCGATTTTTGCATTCATGCACAATAATAAGTTTAATTAATTTTTGAAAATGTAATCTGGCATCGTGCAAGATACATTTATTAAATTGCAGTCAATAATTGTTTTACGCAAAAATTGTTTTGTATGCAGTGCGCGGTATACGGTGCCCATTAACTCGGTAAATAAAATACCACGTAATAAATACTGCTCTATATTTCATCCTAGTGAATGAATTTGTCTACTGTATATATATATTATATAATAATGCCCGAGTTTACATAGCTTCCCTCGAAAATTCGAATGCACACTAGTGATGGATGTGGAAAACTAAATTTGATAACCATCCGCGACCCGAGAGAGAGAGAGAGATATATCCTTTTTATTACACGACTTAAATTAACTTTATTACATACCGCGAGACATCTGCTATATTATAATTGCTATTTAAAAAAAACGAACGTGCGGAGGATATTAATAAAATGAAATATTAATACATTTAAATATTTTAACTGGTAAAAAAAGATTAATTTGTAAAAAAACTGTATTAAAGTACAGTCTAAAATTTCAGATAACTGACAGCAAAATCCATACTAAATGAATTGGAAATAAAGTGTCCTTCATCAGAGACATTACGTTTAATTTTTATGTAGATAGTAACATTTTTATAAAGTGAAGTTATCCCATTTTTAAATATATCTTTTCAAAGAAAAGAATATGTATATTATTGATATAGAATTAGAATATGAATGATCTGCGGCTCTCTTTATGCGTTTCTTCACATTACTTCACATAATACACCGAATGTCCCTCTATACTTTATACACTTCGCACTGAGCATCATGCAAAGGCATTTATTTACTGTAACTGCACTTCTTGTTAATGCGTATAGTTCATATTTAATGTCGTCGTCCTAATTAAAGTCGAACCAATCAAATAGTAAATCAATTTCCTTCCGTTCGGCTTTTGGAGATGTTCACGTGTTACGTTTATTACGAAGAGTAAAAACTCTAACTGGTCCTCCTAGACAGCTTATTATATAATATTTAGTGACGAGTAGAAATCAATTGTATTCTTTTATTCAAAACTGTTATAAATGTGCTAAATCGAGTTCGAGTTAAATTTGATTTTTGTAGTAATAATTAATTCGA